TATGGGCTCGCGTGCTTACGATACGCGTAACTCGTATTAAATTGAAAGGTAAACCTTTGAAGGTTTTCTGCGACTGTGATATAAAGTGGTGAGTTCTCGAACATTTAAAGACGAGCTTGGCCTAGCGCCAATTCGCCAAAGCGCAAAGTGCTTGTCTTTTAAACAATTATTTAATAAGAACAAAAAAAAAAACAAATTGTACGTAGAACATAAATTCTGTTTGAGTATACGCTAACTGACAGAAGTGTTACTTAAGATATGAAATCAAATTTTAAACCGTCTGCTGTTTGTTAAAAAAAGGCACCCGAGACATATACTTAGTCTTGCAAAAAATACTGAGACAAAGGAAAAAAACATCTATTGCAAATAACATTTATTACTTTTACAGTGTCTTAGTTTAATACATAAATATAAAACAATTTAAACTATAAAAAGCTTATTCGAAGTGGTCTCCATTGGCTGCAATACAGTCCTTTAAACGTTGAAACTAGTTATCAATAGAAGCACGCACTCTTTCCATGGGAAAATTTTCACTGCGAATCGTACGGATTGTTTTCCTCCTCGCGTCGTTTTCCTCATTACTAAGGGTCGAGACTCCCGCGCTGCATCAGTTTCTCCCATACGACTTCCCTCCATCCAGGATTGTTTTAGGGACTCCAAATTATCATGGCGTTTAGAGCAAGCCGTACTCTCTAAAACTGACCATAAATCATAATCCAGCGGATTAAGATCGGGACTAGACGACGGCCAGTCTTCAGCTCTGATGAAGTCCGAAACGTTCGTTTCCAACCAAGACTGGGTAGACCGAGCTTTATGACCTGGCGCCGAGTCTTGCTGGAAGGACCATTCTTGATTATTGAACATGGTGTTGTTAAGGGGCTTCACTACCTTCTCAAGAATGGTATCTTGATACACTTGTGCCGATGTTTTGATACCTTTTTCACAAAAGTATGGCTCAGTCACTCCTTCATAGCTAATACTCCACCAAACCATCACTGAAGTCGGATAGTGCCCACGTTGCACTCTGTCGACTAATTGGGAAGCTTCCTTAGAGCTTTGAGCATAAATTCGGTCATTTTATTTGTTAAAATGTTGCTCAATTGTAAAAATGTTCTCATCCGTAAACTAAATTTTTCTGTGACCTCCCTTTGCGTACCGTTTCAGTAGTTGTTTCGATTTTACCACGCTATTCTCTTTTAAATTATCAGTTAAGAAATGACCAGTACGTCTTTTATAGGCTGCAAGTCCTAGGTCATCTTTTAAAATACATACAATACATGGTTCTAGGTGCTATCTTCATCTCCCGAGATACAATATTTTGCTTTCGGACAGGATTTCTTCGAATTTTTTCCCTTACTGCTTTGACCACCTTTTTCGTACGAACACTACGTGGACGGCCAGATCTTTTTATGTCACAAACAGAGGAGGTCTCATTGCACCTATTAATAGCCCGGTACACAAACATTTTACTAATACCAAGCGTATGCAGAATTTTAAAAATTGCATTTGGCTCCATACCTACTTTGTGTAATGCAATCACAGCGATTCGGTTCTCTTTATCACCCCACTCCATTTGAATATCGCTAAATATTGTACAATGTATTGGCGCCAAAATGAGAAAAATCAATGAAATATGAATAAAAATGACAGATTCCAAATTCAAATGTAATATTTTGTTTATTTTTAATTGTAACAGTATTTATGGCCAGACTAAGTAATAATATGCTGTCATAACTAACGGCTTAAAACAGCATCAACCAATCTTTTCCCGCGGGTGTCGTAAAAGCGACCAAAGGAGTCATCGGAAAATGGGCGCAGCATTCTCTGAAACACTAGCGTTTTTTTTCCCCTACCTATGCTGATAGCCTTGAGAGGCTATTTCAGCTTCACCCAAACGTGAGCTCACGGGGCTGAAACTGGAGTGTTGCTAACACTGGCCCTAGCAAGAGCAGTGCTTCGCAGAATCTACCACCGGATCGGAAACGCGACCCACTGAGAAGACCCGGCTAGAAACTCAGTGGACAATCTACTGCGATCTGTTAAAAGCGAGAAGGCCGAAATCTTTTTAAAAACAGATTTATTTAACGCTACAAAATAATATTTTTAATGAATGATCGGGAAATAGTGAGGAAAATCGGTAAACGTCTCACTTCGATGAATATCTGATTCTAACTGTCAGTTAGTATGTTTTTATGAAACCATAATAGGGTTTATGATGAGTAGGTTTTATATGCATTTACATATACGGGCTAAGGGTGTAACAATTAAGCGCAATTAAATAGTGGTCTTGTAAGCTGCCATCGCAGTTTGCAATCTACGGATGAGTTTAGAATCTGAACTAATTACGCTTCAAATTAGAAGAATCGAAGAATTATTTCTACCGTGAAGCAGTAATGCGTTTCGGTTTGAAGGGTGGGGCAGCAATTTTAACTATACCTTAGAACTCATATCTCAAGATGGGGACGGGATTTACGTTATAGATGTCTATGGGCTCCGGTAACCACTTGACACCAGGTGGGCTGTGAGCTCGTCCACTCATCTAAGCAATAAAAAAAAAGCGTAAATAAATAGTAGTCTTTTAATTTGCCATCACAGCTTACAATCTGCGGATGGCTTTAGAATCTTAGCTTAATACGAAGACTATATAATTCGAACAAATAAAACGGTATCTCAGATTAATACGTCACGAACTAATTCTATAAAATATATATTATTATATTACAGGGTGAGAAGTAATTCGGTTTTCGAGAAAAAAGCCGCAGATTTGTATCGATAATTTCTCTTTGCATGTTTAGTTGTTGAATGTACTATATAAAATACTATAATACTACTACATAAGTATTGTTAAAACAACACAAAATATTTACTAACAAACAATATGAACAAATCAAACAGGATCTAATTGTTAATCGTTGCCAGAAATAATAACACAGTTAATACCCAATTTCATTTTGTTTTAATTGTATTAAAAAGAAAAAGAAAATTCCGAGCGCTAGAGTTCGAGAATGTTCTAGAACAAACACTAAAGAATTTACCCGTTAATTACCATTTAAATCTCGAGCGCGCTGATCTGTCAAGAGAATTTCAGCTTTAAATACAGAGGTGGAAAGTTTTGTTTTCGTTTAAGACGTTTGTTATTCGCTAATGTAATCAAAAAAGAATTGTTATTTACCGAGAATCGTGCTTTTAACGAATCGAGGAGATTGTTTGATATTAACAAAACAACGACAACAAATCTCATTCCTTGTATTGGAGACAAATGGAAATTTAGTTTTTAAAGTAAGGTCGTAAGGCTCCGAATTGAACAGTAACATTTTTTTTTTTAATTTTTATTGAATACTTTTCCAGTTTTTATTATGGAAATTATTTTTTTCAACATATTAAATTAGGAACATAGGCCAGAAATCGATATTTGCTATTTTTGTTCGAATTGATCAACGAGCTCATGGTCCAACCGGAGGTTTTTGGTTATGCTCACTGACAGCCTATTGCGATTATTATGAACTCCACCACTGATCCGAGAGGTTGAAGTCACAAATTTAATTTTTATCTCATCTATTGCGTGTTTATAGTATTTCCTTTAGTTTTCGCGTGTCGGATACACAATTAAAACTATTTTCACGGCTTAATCGAGCCGTTTTGATGCTGTCGTTATATTAATTCACACGTTTATAATACTTCACAGTTTTCCTGGTCACGAAACATGGTCAGACTTGCGTGTTATTAAAGAATGTCTTCCATAATTAATGACTAGGTTTATTAGTTGATGGTAGGGAGTGTTGTGAGTCCGACATGTCCTGCTTCAAACGAGGATTATGGAGAGTTATTAACGGTAGGCGGCGGCTTGGCTCTGCCCCTGGCATTGCTGATGTCCATGGGCGACGGTAACCACTCACCATTAGGTGGACCGTATGATCGTCTGTCTATACGGCAATAAAACAAATTAAGTCATCTCTTAGAAACATCTTTTTCGTCGTTAGTGGTTCTTTCCGCTTCCGATCAGCCAAGTCGGTTTGATTATAAATACAAAGTGTTCTGAAATAGCTTTTGATATGGTAAGTGTATGTGTATGTGCCGTCGCTTCGAACCATCGAGTTCTAGGGGCAACGTCAAACACGTAGGTATTAGAAAGAGGGTAGACGGATTGGTTTGCTTTTTTAACATCCTACCCGCAGTTCGGTCGTAATTATAACGCTTGCAATAAGCTGAAATATCGAGTAGTCATTAAAACCAGAACCCACTAAACAAAAGTGTTTAAATTAAATATACGCATTTTTTTTATTGTAATAAATAAGAAGGTAACAAAAAAACGAATAAAATATTTAATAAAAACAAATCAAGCACCCTTAAACAAATGGAGTAATATGAAAAAAAAAAACTCGATCGAATTAAAGAAATGAATGAATAAATGAAAAAATAACAATTATAAATTCTAAAGAAAATTCATTAAATTATTTGAAATAAATTAATTAAAGCTATCTCAATTACACGAAACAATGGCCTAAAATTGCTTTGAATGTAAACAAAGATGTTCGCCTTAGTATATAACACTAGTATACGCTCTGATCGGACCATTGTTTTTAAATATATATTTCCTATCACTACGTCACCTGTAGCATGTTTATGGTACTATAACAAGAACCTTCCCTAAAACGCCAAACAATAACTGTCGATGTCGCAAATTTCAAATCACAATCGAAAGACGAAGATACAAACGTAAAATTAAATTTACATACAAAACGATATTCATAATTCAATGTACAAATAGAGATCTCAAGCAAACGAAAAAACGATACTTTTTTAAACCTAAATCGAAATTGGAGAAATATATGCATAATATCGATTATTCTTTACAACTCAAGTAATTTTATTATCTATACATATGTACATACATATAAGAGACACCCTGTTTGTCTGACATTTCTCCTTTACTTTTTTGTTTTGTCAATATATTTATAGATATATATCGACCAGATTTTCAGAGTTATCAATAACTTTTTTATTCGGCCTTCTGTTTTAACAAACAAAATAAAGATGAATTTAAATCTTCAGGCGTCAGTGATTAAGGTCGAATTTTGGACACTGGTCAAAAAATTAAATGTGGAAACAAAAGAATTTTGAACGACAGTACCACAGCGTACTAATAACAAATGTACCTAACAATAAACAATTTCCATACATTTCGTGAAGCGTTTTGTCGTGTTAGCGTAAATTGAATTGTTTTGGATCAACTATGCTTTGATTGTTCGCAGTTCTTTCTCGTATTTCCCGGTGTAAACACGTTTCGGGTCATACATATCGACCAAACGATCCCAATACCCCGGCTCACTGTCGATCAGGTGCTTGATCACCCTCCGTATCCCCTTACGTTGGGCTCCGGTACATTTTGTGCAGCCAGTTTGAAGCGCATCCGTAATGTGAGCTGAAAAGATAAATATTTCATAGCTGGTGTAGTGTTTGTGAATAAGCGCGCGGCGTGACGTCGCACTGCATGAGCATCAGGAAAAGTCTGCCCATCTCTCTCTCACGCGGTCTAGCTTATGAGTGTGAAAGGGACAGTTAATGTTTTGCTTTTGTTAATGTTTATAAATAAAGCGTGGTCTTATTTTTATTATTGTTTTAATATTAAATTATTATTGTCTAATTGTAATTGCATAAGTTGATAAAAAATGCTTTGCAATAGCTTTACCGCGGCAGTCCCCGAGTGCCACGCGTCTTTTTTTTTATTTAATTTTTATTGCTTACATGATTTCACGAACTCACGGCCCCATGTAGTGTGAAGTGGTTACCGGAGCCCATAGACATCTACAACGTTAATGCCGCCACCTATCTTGAGATAAAGTTCTAAGGTTGCAGTTTTTACAGTAAGGAAATGAAGATGAAGGAATAACATAGTATAATAAAAAACAAACCCGTAAAAATTTAAATTTGCATAATTACCGGTAGCAGATTGTCTTGTGAGCCAGCCTGCAAGGGTAGGTACCACCACCCTGCCTATATACATATTTCTGACATGAAGCAAAAATACGTTTCGGTTTGAATGCTTAGGCAGCCGTTGGATTGTAAAAACTGAGAACTTAGAATATATGTCTCAAGGTGGGTAGCGGCATTTACGTTGTAGATGTCTATGGGTTTATAACACCAGGTGGGCTGTTAGATCGTCTACCCATCTAAGCAATAAAGAAAGCGAAGGGGTTATAAATAGGAAAAAATTATATCGGATTTACTCGTAAATAGTTTTAATAGCATAGAATCTTCGTGATTAGAATAATATTTTAATTAACTGTCAAAAATAATTGAAACGAAATATTAAGTATCTATGATATTTTAAGTCGTCGTGGCCTAAAGGATAAGACATCCGGTGCATTCGTATCTAGCGATGCACCGGTGTTCGGATCCCGAAGGTAAGTACCAATTTTTCTAATGAAATACGTACTTAAAAAATGTTCACGAATGACTTCCACGGTGATGGAATAACATCGTATAATAAAAATGAAAACCCGCAAAATTATAATTTGCGTAATTACTGATGGTAGGACGTCTTGTGTCGCACGGGTAGGTACCACCACCCTGCCTATTTTTGCCGTGAAGCAGTAATGCGTTTCGGTTCGAAGGGTGGGGTAGCCGTTGTAACTATACTGAGACCTTAGAACTTATATCTCAAGGTGGGTGGCGCATTTACGTTGTAGATGTATATGGGCTCCAGTAACCACTTAACACCAGGTGGGCTGTGAGCTCGTCCACCCATTTAAGCAATAAAAAAAAACCAATGATGAGACCGTTAAGTGCGCGGTACGTTTGTTTGTCTATATATGAAATTAATAAAAATGAAAATTATATTTTGTGCTGGGAAAGATTACTGGGAAATTCGCACCGACCTCCGACTGTTTATTTTTAATATAGGTATATTATTATAGTATACTAGCTGTACCCGTCCGCTTCGCTGGGTATTTAAAATTAACATTATTATTTCTCACCCCCATAAAGATTCTCATCATTAACGCCCCCACAACTGGTGTAGGGAGTCCAACACTCATATTAATATTAGCCTATCCATTAAGTACATGTATTTTCTACATGGATACCAAGTTTCAAGTCAATCGGATGCATGGTTCAGTAGTTATAACGGAACATCCGTAAAAACCACTGTGGATTTATATATTAGTATAGATTCATTGCTATCTTGATATAGAAGATTAAGATTGTCCCATTCCTTGAACTTAAAAGGTTTAAAGAAAGGTAAGGTAAGGTTGCCTCACTCTTTAAACTAGAAGGCGTTACCGCTTTTAGGCAGAAATTTAAGTTTTATTCTTTAGTAATGCGAGCTCACAATATTCCATACCCTAGTAAAATATGAATTATTTTTATAATGGAATTATTCTTTAAATTAATATAAACTCAAGTAAAAGTTAATACAAATTATTGAAAATGTATTCAAACGAATCTCAATTGAATATCGTAAAAGTTTAACCAATGTATTTTTTCAATAAGAATAATTCAAACAATCTTTCGCAGGATATTGTTACCTCTTCATTTTTTCCAATATCTGATGGTCCTAATATAAATTGTAACGCTTGTATGAGTGCGTGCGCTTACAATCTAATGGGAATGTTGTTTTTTTATTGGCATTCCCAAATTCGAAGCATTCTTTTGTTTTAGAGGGGCTACAAATAATTAATTTATTTTAGGGCATGAATTCTTATAGGCAGCTAGATTTCCCACTCCGTTTTGTAACGCGTGGGTATGTATTCTTAGTACCTTAGCTGTAGAATCAAAATTAGCTTATGGTTTTTTGAGAGGCTTAAAGACAAAGGGAAGATCTTACATCGAACGGGTGATATTGCTCGGTAAACCGAACCGAACTTGTATATATGCAAGCTTATCTTGAAAATGTCGTAAGCGAGATTCAAGCATCTGTCAAATATCTTGTTTTGTTTGATAGCTACCGTCACAGTCTTTCAAATGGTTCAAACTGTTTCCACACGGAACTTGGTCAAAATCGGTTCAGTAGTTTGGCGTGAGCATCACAGAAAGACAGACCAGAATGTTTATAATATTAGTAGAGATAGTGACGTTTACTATTTTCAATTTTGAATAACCAATTATTATAAGACTTTAAAACGCGGCTGTGGATACGCAAGGATGTTGATAATCGTAACTGCTAGCCAAGCTCAAAGCACAACTATTGACTTTTAATTTTCAAATTAAATCGTTACACTAATTTCAGCGCTATAATAATACACTAAAACTGAGCACTAGTTTAGCAGTAGTAAGTCCAAAGAACGATCTTTGATTTCTCTGAAAATGACTATAACTAAATCGATGTGTCTATGAAATCTTACATTTCAACTCCTTCCCTTCGGCGGTGCACTTTCCTTCTTCCAAAACGCACTTGATGTATGCCGTCAACAATCTCTTGTTGCCCAGGATCTCGGCTACGTTGATGTTGTCGTATCTGTCGGAGTAGGATCCAGCCTGGATTGCAATAGCAAGCGATAATAGGACGGCTGTCACTAGGAATTTCATAGTGATAATCTGAAAGAAGGTTTAATTTTAAATATTGCTACGCTGGTAAGAGTAACGCCATCTATCGCTGAATAGCCGAGACGAATATCAGTTGAACTAGTAACATCGAGAACGCTCGAGACGTACTGTTACATATGCCCCTCAATAATAACGTAATATAAATAATAATGCCGACTGAGGCATTCTTGAATGCATTGTCTCTATATAAAGACGATATATTGCTAAAGCGCGTTAGAACAGATTTGGCTTGAGTAGCGGAAACACACATCATTTGTACTACTTCTTTAATAAAATAAACTCCGTGCCAGTCACCGTGTCCTTTTTTAAAAAGAGCTCCTGGACCCACCCCGTAACAGTACAACGCCATCTTTTTTATTTTATTTTGATTGCTTAGATGGGTGGACGAGTTCACAGCTCACCTGGTGTTAAGTGGTTACTGGATTCCATAGACATCTACAACGTAAATACGCCACCCACCTTGAGATATACGTTCTAAGGTCTCAGTATAGTTACAACGGCTGCCCCGCCCTTCAAACCGAAACGCAATACTGCTTTACGGCAGAAATAGGCAGGGTGGTGGTACCTACCCGTGCGGGGTCACAAGACGTGCTACCACCAGTAATTACGCAAATTATAATTTACATAACTATTAAACTATACGTTTAAAATTGTAGCTCATGTCTCGATCGCATGTCTGTCGAATAAATCAAAATTGAAATATCATTAAGCTGCTTTTATACTTCGATATAAAATGTTTTATGATTTGTATTTACGTTTTAATATTAAAGGTTCACTTTGTCTTCGATATATTTATTACCTACACAATAAAGTCCGTCTATTTATAGTAAAAATTCAATTTACATAGCAAAGGCAGAAGACATTAACTAATTTAAATACAATTTTTATGAGACGAAAATGTATAGGCGCGCGTGAGGCGTTTGAGTTTTTTGTGACATTAGCGTGATTCATTTTAAATTATAATGCAATCTTTCTTTTTCAGGTAAGTCGTTCAATGTCTTTTGAGTGAAGACTTTTATGTTGTGCTTAAGTGAGTATTTAACTTTTAGTACCTGCTTCTTTTAAATTACAATACTTCGAATGAATTTTTAAAAATCAAATCAAGATAATGTTTTTTTTTACATTGTATTTATGTGTCGTGGAGAACAATTTATTTTGACACGATTATTATTTTGATTGTTATTTAAATGATAAGTGTTTTGATTAAAATAAAAAAAATGTAGGGTACACTAGTAGGGTAGTAATTAACTAAAGTTTTTGCGATAGTGACATAAAAAAATTATTTATGATCAAAACATAAAACTATTTGTCTAGTATAGTTGTTAAGCTGTAGCTACTAGGGCTAGGAATTACGATGACCTTTAATACCTAGCTAGATTTGGCAACATTAATAAATCTGGAGACGTTACATTTTCACTGAACAATTGACGAATCAAATCGCTCATCTGTGACTAGCGTTCTCTTCTTCACTGTAGTGTTCGTATCTAATTGGTGGAAAAGGTAGATAAACAAAAATATTAATGCAGATCACAAGTTTAAAATATCTGTACATAAGATTCGGTGCACAGGGATGCTTTAAGAAGAAATTATAAAATCTATACTAATATATAAATCTACAGTGGTTTTTACGGATGTTCCGTTATAACTACCGAACCATGCATCCGATTGACTTGAAACTTGTTATCCATGTAGAAAATACACGTACTTAATGAATAAGCTAATATTTATATGAGTGTTGGACTCCCTACACCAGTTGCGGGTGCCTTAATGATGAGAAGCTTTGTGGGGGTGAGAAATAATAATGTTAATCTTAAATGCCCAGCGAAGCGGACTGGTACAGCTAGTAATATATAAAATTTTAATTTAATATCTAATAACAAAGAGAACTTACTGAGTTTTCCAATTTCTCGCTCAATTACACCGACTGTGCTACGTTGGATGCAATGGAAGTTTTAAAATCGAACGTCCGATATCGATATCTCGATAGAACTGTCTCCAGATCCGAGATTTCATACTATTTATATTATTCAAAGATCCTTGCAGAAGTTTTCATTGAAAGTGCCGCTATGAATTGTTCAATGGGTTTTCCTTATGAAATGAAATGCATCAAACGACAATTAAGAAGCAATTATGATAATACCTTTGGAAATCAATGTCCAACTCGTCATTGAGTCATACTGTAAGATTTTGTCTAAAAAGTATTCGCATCGCTTTAAACCATCACGACTTATCAGTATTGGCTTGTTAAGTAAACCAAATGAGCTTATATAGGGAAACTTTTTTGAACGAATCTCCTTATGGGACGATGCGGAGGGGTACCCTAACCTGGAAAAAACGTCCGTAACATAAGATTTTTATTAATAATGCACACGGTGTACGACTTAACTTTACGTACAAAAAATAAGATACGACCACGATCTCAGAGCTGTCGTTTTCGCAATACACTAACTGATGCAAACAACCGTGAATGAAGTGTACCACAATAAGTTCGCACGTTACCGAATGACCGTGGGTTGTTGCGAAACCTCCAGTTTTATTTTCTTTATACCTCGAATAGAACTTAAAATTTATATTTTTATAATAAGGAACTTCGTATCCGGTGTCCCACGACACAACACATCTTTTTATTATCTCATAAGAGCGATTTCTTAAGAATTGAGAAAATCTCTGTTATAATTTCCTTACAAAGAGTATTTTTGTTACAAAGATCCACTTTAGAGGTAGCTATTTGAAGTAACACGAGCAGGCTTATTTGTGTACGCCGGAAATTGTACAAGCTATTTAATAAGGATGCACAAAGAGAATTTAAAACGTCAGTGTTCTGAAGTTTGAATATTCATGTGCCGTAAAAGGACGAGCACGTGAGCTACTACATAAAAAGGAAGCTTATATTATCTTTATATATACTTAGTCTGGCCATAAATACTGTTACAATTAAAAATAAACAAAATATTACATTTGAATTTGGAATCTGTCATTATTATATGATTGCTCATTGAGTTTTCTCATTTTGGCACAAATACAATGGTACAATATTTTGTGATATTAAAATGGAGTGGGGTGATAAAGAAACCCGAATCGCTGTGATTGCATTACACAAAATAGGTATGGAGCAAAATGCAATTTTTAAAACTCTCCATACGCTTGGTATTAGTAAAATGTTTGTGTACCGGGCTATTAATAGCTGCAATGAGACCTCCTCTGCTTGTGACATAAAAAGATCTGGCCGTCCACGTAGTGTTCGTACGAAAAAGGTGGTCAAAGCAGTAAGGGAAAGAATTCGAAGAAATCCTGTCCGAAAGCAAAAGATTTTATCTCGGGAGATGAAGATAGCACCTAGAACCATGTCGCGTATTTTAAAATATGACTTAGGACTTGCAGCCTATAAGAGACGTACTGGTCATTTCTTAACTGATAATTTAAAAGAGAATAGGGTGGTAAAATCGAAACAACTACTGAAGCGGTACGCAAAGGGAGGTTATCGAAAATTTTTGTTTACGGATGAGAAAATTTTTACAATTGAGCAACATTTTAACAAACAAAATGACCGTTTTATGCTCAAAGCTCTAAGGAAGCTTTCCAATTAGTCGACAGAGTGCAACGTGGGCACTATCCGACTTCAGTGATGGTTTGGTGGGGTATTAGCTATGAAGGAGTGACTGAGCCATACTTTTGTGAAAAAGGTATCAAAACATCGGCACAAGTGTATCAAGATACCATTCTTGACAAAGTAGTGAAGCTCCTTAACAACACCATGTTCAATAATCAAGAATGGTCCTTCCAGCAAGACTCGGCGCCAGGTCATAAAGCTCGGTCTACGCAGTCTTGGTCGGAAACGAAGGAAGCTGAAGACTGGCCGTCGTCTAGTCCCGATCTTAATCCGCTGGATTATGATTTATGGTCAGTTTTAGAGAGTACGGCTTGCTCTAAACGCCATGATAATTTGGAGTCCCTAAAACAATCCGTACGATTGGCAGTGAAAAATTTTCCCATGGAAAGAGTGCGTGCTTCTATTGATAACTGGCCTCAACGTTTAAAGGACTGTATTGCAGCCAATGAAGACCACTTCGAATAAGCTTTTTTTCTTTAAATTATTTTATATTTATGTATTAAACTAACACACTTTAAAAGTAATAAAATATGTTAATTGCAATAAAAAAAAATCCTTTGTCTCAGTATTTATGGCAAGACTAGTTATATATTTTTAACAGTTACCATTTTTACTAGCTTAATTGCCACAGCATGTCAGGTAAATAATCTTTTTTTTTATAACTTAGGTGGGTGGATAAGCTCACAGCCCACCTGAAGTTAAGTGGTTACTGGAGCCCACAGACATCTACGACGTAAATGCGCCACCCACCTTGAGATATAGGTTCTAAAGTATCAAGTATAGTTACAACGGCTGCCCCATCCTTCAAACCGAAACGCATTACTGCTTCACGGTAGAAATAGGCAGGATGGTGATACCTACGCGCACGGACTCACAAGAGGTCCTACCAGTAAAAAATCGGAGGCTATGCGCATTACAAAGTATTTTTATTACTTTTGGACTGACTGCTACTACGGACTACTGACGGTATCGATCACCGTTCAAGCCACGTCTTAAAATGCCTCATCTACTAACCTCAAGATAATTCGTCCAATTATTACTCCAATTCCATTGTATTTATAACGGGCTGTCTCGACCTTCAAACATACGACTTATTCGTGGCATAAAAGAAAATAATAATTCTGTTGAAATAAAAAAAAATCATATTAAAATTCATTTTTTACTCCTTTGAAAAAATTCGCAAAAACCTCGGACTTAATGAGGTTATTTCCTAGAGCGGTGCAGTTGTCCCATTCCTATGCTTAGATGTTTTTTATGTTCCCACATTTGTGTGTAAAAGCAAGTCCCGGGGTCCACTTCGCTTTTATTATTGATGTACCTTAATTTGTAACAAAAAATCTAAGTCCGGCGCTCACCTTAAAGGTATGCCTTGAAAAAGGAAGAGATATTGGTTTATTTTTATGGATATTAATAAATAATTCTTATTCTTTAATTCGTTCTTACATTATGACTTTATTTTGAATAGCTCATTAAAATCTGCGGTGCGAGAACTTAATTGAAATGTATAAAAATTCACAAAACCGGAGAGTGTGCAAAAACATTAAGACAACATTGGTAGGCAGAGGCTTGGTTCTGCCCCTGGCATTGCTGAAGTCCATGGGCGACGGTAACTCACCATCAGGTGGGCCGTATGCTCGTCTACCTACAAGGGCAATAAAAAAAACAAAGCAAAGTAAAAAATTCTAGAGATTGGCTGGATACTAATTTATATAAATAATTATTTAACAAAGTCTCGCAAACGTCTTTCAGCTGTGTCCATCGATGCTGACAGGTCACGGGCATCACTTGTGGCTCACACGTTTCTCTTCCCCTAAAAAGGAAGATATATAAGACCTTAATAAGGCCTGCCGTCTTGTATGAATCAGCTTCTTGGACCACTAAAATGGCGGATGAAACGCGATTTCATGCAGCAGAGATGCGAATGTTGCGATGGATGTTTGGAGTAACAAGAATAGATAGAATACGGAATGAATAGGTTAAAGGAAGTCTGAAAGTGGCACCTGTGATAGAGAAGTTGAAAGGCGGGTTTGGGACGGTATGGACATGTGGATGAGACGAAATGATAATGAGGTTGGTAAGAGAGTTTTAACTATGAATGTGAAAGGCTATAGAGGAAGAGGTAGACCTAAGAAGAAATGGATGGATTGCGTGAAAGACGATATGCGTAAGAGGGGAGTGAGCGAAGAAATGGTATGATAGAGGAGTATGGAAGGAGAAAACATGTTGCGCCAACCCCAGGTGACTGGGAGAAGGGCAGGAGAATGAGGTGGGTCCATTGAATTGCTGGCGTCTTCAGGATTTATTTCTTAGTTTCCATTGATGCACTACCACTTGTATTTCCGCTTAAAGAGCAGTGACGCTTTCCAGTTTGAAGGATGGGGCATCTGTTTTACAAAAGAACTCTTGAACTATGACTTGCAACTCAAGCTAGGTGGCGATATTTATGTTCTTGACGTACGCGAGTGGCTCTTAGAAAAAAAAAGTAACAAAATACGCTTCGTTTTTTTAATTTACGCAAAACTTATTTTAATTTATTCTCTATTTTTTTGTCGGATTTTCTATAAAAGCGTAACTTTTTTAGTTTTTTAAAAATATTTTTTATTTTTCATTTTTTAGTTGAATTTAAAAATTATCAAATTTTGATATAGAATTGTCATCGGTCCTTAATAAGTATACTAAATTTCGAATTAATCCGACGTTTTGGAGGGAATCAAAATCATGTTCAAAGATTCCGTTACATACATACGTCTGAAGCTGATAAAAGCGTATCAAAAACAAAATGAATTGCGTAAAACGCTTACAACATTTACGAGCCCTTAAAGCGAGGGCACCTCTGGCTCACCGAATCCAATTTCGGCCCTCATCAGAGCAACAGAACGAGGCACGTACTATATTTAATATTTCAGACCCGCGAACAAGCTTTTTGACCATCAATTATGTATTGTTCCGAGCTCTCTTCGCCGTGTGTAGCCTCGTTAGTAATACTTGCGTTTCATGCGGCAAACAAATGTATCTTTGCGATATTCTTTCGTGTTATCGGGTAACACTTCCGGCCTCACATAGTGAACCCTAGGCAATATATTGAACTTATTATTGTTTTATAATAATGGGTTGGGGAAAAAGTTCCTTCGCATTTTTTAAGAAAATTCACAACGTATTTTGATATAGTTTATTTACATTTAACTAAAGTATGTAGGTACCATTTGGTTCGATAACTTTTTGCTATCTTGTAGGTAGGGACATGATCCGATTGCTATAGAAATTTTAGGGATTCTGATCAAAATACCGCGACAATTGGTTTTGGCAGTCCTCTCGTGATGTTAACCTGACACAGCCTAAAGAATTCTGAAGAGACCGAAAT